CTGCTTTCTTGTAAAACCCAGGACCACCTGCCCAGGGGTGGTATCACATATGCTGGCTGAGCCCTTCTGTATCAGTTAGTAATCAAGAAAATATTTGGTCACAATAGTAATAAAAATAACTAATACAAGGCCTTTGATAAAAGAAGGAAAGAAGAAAAAGAAGAGAAATATAATAGACAGATAGACAGACAGACAGGTGACAGTGCTTAGTAAGTTTTTGTCAACTAGATACAAACTAGAGACTCCTGGATGAAATAACCTCTATTGAGCAATAGTCTCCATCAGACTAGACCAGTGAGCATGTCTGTAGGGATATTTTCCTATAGCAATGTAACATGAATGATGTCTTGGTTGCATATTCTGTCTCTTGCTGTGTCGGTGTCTGTCTGTCTGTCTGTCTCTCTCTCCCTCTCTCTCTCTGACACACACACACACACACACACACACACACACACACAAAGACACATGCCCCACCCAAACACACATGTGCAAAAAAGTAAACACAATCACATATACAGAACTTAGTCCCCCTGCCCCAGGTCTTCCCTGTTTCCATGGACACCTTCCCTCCCTGTCCCCTTACTTCCCTACCCCTCAGTCTCAAGTCCAGGGTCTGACAAGGACAGGGTCCCTCCTCAGCCTCCTCTAAAATAGAGGTCACTTTAGGACCAGATCCCAGGGAGCCTCAAGCCTGGCCCACATGAGAAGCCAGAACCCATACTCATGTTTCCCAGGATCCTTCATCCTGCTCAGTCCCAGCACTGCACAAGTCTCCATGCAGGGAATTTCTGAGAAGAGGAATACAGGACATGACAATGTGTTTACCATCCATGTTTATCACCCAGGAGGATTAACAAGATCCAAGATGCAAAGAGGAGACTGGCCAAGCATCCTTAAGAACTGTCCCATGAACCTCCCACTCACAACGAACTCAAGAGGGTTTCACCGGAGCAACACAGGCACATATGGTGTGGATTCACAAAAGTGAAGGAGGTGGTTCCTCTCCTCATGAAGATGGAGCAAGATAAGATGGACAGATCTCAAGTCAGCTCAGGAAGTGGCTTATCACAGAGGATGGAAAGCATCAGCAAAAAAGGAAATGCCCATGAGTGTAATTTAAAAAATAAAAATTAAAAAAAAAAAAGAAATGCTCTCCAGGGCTGACCATGAGTGGCAAGGTTGTGAAGCCCTTAGTTGAAGGCTGGGGGACAGGTGACATCCTCAATCCATGGCCGTGGATATGCCCCTAACTGGATTGACAGGAACCAGTGCCCCTGAGTCCTGGAGCATCTTCAGAGCACTTCCTGTAGCAGTTCATCTGGAGCCTCTCAGGGGAGCAGGAAGCAGAGGACAGAAAGGAGAACTCGGCATGTGAACACTGGACGTTCTAAAAGGACACTGCCCCTCTCCTCTTGGGCTTGGTGTGGGCAGGAGACATCAGAGCTGAAGAAATGACCCCAGGAGTGACGGGAGTGTGGCTGCCTTCAGCTCTGCTCCTCTTGCAGGTCCCAGGTGAGCACGGGGATGGGGGTGGGGTGGGGGTTACAGCTCTGAAAGCAGAAATCCTGGAGTAAGTGAGAGGGCATGATGGGGGATGGGAGGTGGGAGAGAGCAGCCAGCAGAGGAAGATGGGACCAGAGTGAGGACAAGGAGTGGGGGTTGGCAGGAGTGGCCAATGTCACCTCACAGGTGCTGTCAGGAATCAGTGCACAGTACAGTCATGAGTACCACACCTGAGACAGTCAGGACCTGCTGAGAGGGTTAGCTGAGACAGACATTGCCATTATACACACAATGTCTATTGTGTATACACATGTATTTGCATACATGTGTGTGTGCATACCAAACATACACAAGCACTGATTCTCACAGAGACATACACTCATTATTTACATAGGTAAAATCTCTCTCTCTCTCTCTCTCTCTCTCACACACACATACACACACACACACACACACACACACACACACACACACACACACACGTGTTGTTTCCTCCTGGGCCCTTCCTTTCTCCAGGGACAAGCCTCCTCCCCGCCCCCTCTTCAGGACAACACAGGTGCTCACCTCAGTCCTGACTCCTGGGTCTAACACAGCCTGTCTCCTTTCTTGATGCTTCCTCCAGACCAAGCAGCTCCCTATGACCTGACCAAGAAAGGCCTGATCCCCATCCACCTGCGAGGGTGCAGAATTGGGGCTTGTGTTTTTCAGGCTGTGTCCCTCTGCATGGCCCCAGCAAGGTGACAGGCACTGTGGGGGAGTCCCTGAGTGTGCGGTGTCAGTACGAGGAGGAACACAAGACTAATGACAAATACTGGTGCAGAGTGACTATGCTACCATGTAAAGGTCTTGTCAAGACCAGAGCCTCAAAAGAAGCTGGGAAAGGCCGAGTGTCCATCAGGGACCATCCAGCCACCCTCACCTTCACAGTGACCTTGGAGAACCTCACCCTGGAGGATGCAGGCACCTACAAGTGTGGGGTGGACATGCCACATATTGATGACTCCTTAGGGATCTATCCCTTCTTGGGGATTGATGATGATTCCCTCAAAATTGTGGTGGCCGTGGTCCCAGGTAAGCTCCCTTCATGTCAGGGCATCCTGAATCCAGGTCCGTCATTCCATCACAAAGGAAGGAAGCCAGATACAATAGCATGGTGAGTTTGGTGAATCAGTGTGCTGTGGGATGGTCTGTATGTCAAATTGCTCCAACTGGTCAATAAATAAAACACTGATTGGCCAGTGGCCAGGCAGGAAGTAGGTGGGACAAGGAAAGAGGAGAATTCTGGGAAGCGGAAGGCTGAGGTGGAGAGACACTGCAGCCACCACCAGGACAAGCAGCATGTAAAGACGCCGGTAAGCCACCAGCCACATGGCAAGGTATAGATTTATAGAAATGGGTTAATTTAAGATATAAAAACAGTTAGCAAGAAGCCTGTCACGGCCATACAGTTTATAAGTGATATAAATGTCTGAGTGATTATTTTATACGTGGATTGTGGAACTGTGGGGTTTGGTGGAACCTGGAGAGAAGCCCTCCAGCAACACAGTGAATCAGGCCACAGGGGGTGTGAGTCCATATGTGCCTTGTGAGGACATTAGTGGTATGTATGATAGCATATGTACACCAATATTTGTGTGTGCGTGTACACATAGGCACAATGGGGAACCTGAGTTCTTAGAAATTCTCTTTTTATGACATATACTTACTTACTTAAGACTTACTTAAGACTTACTTAAGAATTACTTAAGACTCACTTACTTACTTACTTACTTACGACTTACTTTGGGGACTTGCCGAGGTGTGTGTACCTCAGAGGAGAGCTTCTGTCACTGAGGCGAGAAGGGACCTGGCACCAAGTATCTTGTCACTGACACTTAAACTCTCCTCTGCAGGAAGACTGCCCTCAAGTGTGAAAGTGCCAACCAGCCCCAGTGCACCATGGGAAGGCCTGGGGAGGGAAGCCCTGACCAGGACTTGGTGGGGCCATGGGGCTTGTAGGCTGTCACACAGCGGTCCTCCGTGTCCCAAGGGACCTGTGTAGAGCAGAGCTGCAGAGGTTTCAGTGGGGAGGACATGGAGTGGAGGTCACTGGGACAGTCTGTGTTTCCATCCTTTGCTCCTGTCACAGGCTCTAGCCCCGAGAACAGAGCAAATACCCTGGGGTCCCCCACATCCTCACCAGTGCACACTCAGCCCAGCGTGACCACAGAGGACACAACTCCTGGTCCCAGCCTACAGTTCTGGTGAGGACCCTGAGGGCTCTGGACTGTGGGTGGGGGTAATGCTGAGAGGGTGGAGGTAGAAGGGTTTGGATCTCCCTCCTTGGGCGTCTCCTGCATCTTCCAGTCCCACACTGACCTGGGGGAGTGTCTTGTGAGCAACAGTTGCTCATCTACAGATTGGGACACAGCAATGACACCCAGACCTGCTGAGATGGAGTTAGTTTCCTGTCAAGAGGTTACAACACAAACACACCTGAGTCTGGGGAGACAGCTCTGCTGGTAAAGGATCTGAGTTTGAGCCTCAGCACCCACATGTCAGGCATGGCGGCATACAATTGAAATACCTGAGCTATAGAGATGGAGACAGGGGGATCCACGAGACTCACTGAGCAGCCAGCCTAGACTACTTGGTAAGCTCCAGGCCAATGTGAGATCCTGTCAGATAAGAAGATAGATGGATCAGGTGTGGTGACTCATGCCTTTAATCCAGCACTGGGAGGCAAAGGCAGGCCAGTATCTGTGAGTTTAAGACCAGCCTGGAATACACAGCAAAGTCCATTCTAGCTAGAGCTGCAAAGTGGGACCTGTCTCACAATAAACACAACAAGGTGATGATTCTTGAGAAATGACATCCAAGGTTATCCTCTGGGCTGCACATTCATGCACACATATGTGCACCTGGATACACTCACATGCACACACACACACACACACACACATACACACACACACACAACCAAACAAACAGTAAATTAATTAATTAACTAATGAAAATAAATACGGTCACTGAATTGTGGTGGCACAAGCCTTTAACACCGGTACTTGGGAGATAAAGGCAGGTGGATCTCTGTGAGTTGAAGGCCATCCTGGTCTAGAAGTGAGTTCCAGGACAGCCTGGGCTACATAAAAAAGAGACCCTGCCTGCCCCCCAAGAAAACCAACTACCAAACAAACAAATAAATCAATAACAAATAAGAGCCACCAGGAGGAAATAGGAGAACTGAGTTTAAAAGAAAGTTGGGGTCTGGGTGCAGGAGCAGAACCTGCCTGGATAGAGGCCTTAGGAGTGGAGGTCCATGGAGAGCCTGAGCCAGATTCACAGTTCCAGGCTAATTCTTGGGCTATCAGTCACACTGTTCAATCAGGCAGGGTTCCTTGTCCTTGTCCCTGAAAAGAACACCTTGGACACACACCTGGATAAAGAGACAGGCACACAGTGTAGGACACCAACATCACCTTCTGGACATGGAGCTTATTGTGTCCTTGTCCCCACAGGCCAGTGCTGAGCAGCATCTACTTCAAGGTCCTGGTCTTTCTGGAGGTGCCCCTGCTCTTGAGCATGCTCAGTGCGGTCCTCTGGGTGAACAGGCCTCAGAGATGCTCTGGGAAGAAGCAGCATTGTCCCGATTATGAGAATCAGTGAGGTCTGTTGACATCAAAGCTCTGTTCATGTCCCTGGACACAGCTCTTCTGGTGACAGAGGACAACAAATAAATCTGTGATTCTGAGAATACTCTCAAAGTTTTAGAAGACTCTTTTTGCTGTGTCAAACACATAAAAGAATGTGCCCAATAAATACATATACATACATATTTTAATAGAATATCTTTACTTATGCCTTGATAACTTCACACATGTACAACATCTCTCTCTCATATCCACCTCCAACCTCACCCTCCCACTCCCTCATGTGTCCCCTCCTCCCCTTCATGGTCTTCCCCCCTTCCATTCATCTTTCTTTTCCTAACCGACTGAGTCCATAGTGCCGCCAGCCAGAATGTTAACCGATCTTACTCTCTTGGTCTTGGACAGGTGACCACAGCCACAGTGTCATGAGTGCAGTGACCATGCCTCAGCCAGATCCCAGCATCTCACAGCACTCTCCTCCTCACCTCTGGCTGTCCAGTGCTTTCCTCTCCTTCTTCCTTCCATAATGTTCCTGAGCCTTGGGATAGAACGGGGTTGCGTGGGGTATGATGAAGGCACCTTCTGGTAGCGAGGAGGTGCCTTGGGGTGGCTTAGGGTAGGGTTTGATATAGATGTCCCGTTTATGGCTGAGCACTCAATTGTCACATTTTCTCAGCACTGAGACCACAGCAGAGGGAAGCTTCTCCTACCCAGGCTGAGGACGGCGCTAATCAGAGTTTATGGATATAGATATTTAGAGGGCAGTTTGACAACATGTCCAATAAATAGATACACCTCACATGGAAAGACACTTGGCACTGTGCCCTCCTCCAGATGCAGTAATAGAATGTGGTCCATACTGACGATCCTCCTCTCTGATGTCACATTCCTGCTTTCTACCCTCCTCGGTGACAACCTCAACGTGGTATTTTTTTCTGCTTGCCTTAAGGTTTTGTCCCAAACATGCACATGGGTTTGCCCAGGGTGTATTGTGTAGTGTCTCTGCTTGGGGTTTTTATATAGACAGAGTTATACTTTCTTTTCTAGAGACAGGGTCTCACTATGGAGCCCTGGTCTAGAACTCGCTATGTAGACCAAGCTGGCCCTCAACTCACAGAGATTCACCCACCTGCACCAGCTGCCTGTACCAGTGTTTCACTCTTTCCCTCAGTGTTCAGGAGTAACCCAAACCTGACATACAGAACAAGCGCTTTGTCCCAGAGATGCACCCAGCCCTCTTCCTCTGTTTAACTATTTATCTATCTGTGTGTCTGTGTGTCTGTCTGATGGTTCGACTGTCTCTACATCTCTCTCCTTCTTTCTTTCCTTCCTTCTTCCCTTTCTTTCATTAGCAGGGTCTCACTGTGTAGCCCAGGCTAGTTTCCAGCTCCTCATCCTCCTGCCTCAGCCTCCTGAGTTCTGGGATTACAGGCATGTGCTACCATGCCCAGTTGGCAGGCCTCATTTCTAAGTCTTTGGTTTTATCATTCGACATCGTTGTGTCTTGGAGGTCCATGCACACTGATGTGTTGACACTGTGACGTGCATCTTGTTTGTGTTGCTCTGGCCGGCTGTGTTAGCACACTATTACATCATTTTCCTCTGCGGTTAACCACTTTAGAGCATCCTTATCCTTTTCTTGTGCCTCCTTCCCCCTCCTTCTCTTCCCACCCTTCCCTATCCTGTGTTTGTGATGAAACAGAACACAGATGGATGACTTGGTCCTAAGCATGTGTCCTGAAGGCCTGCTTTCTATGTGGGTTCCGCAGATCCAGTTCAAGTCCTTATGTTCACACAGCAAACATTTTTGACTGACCTACCGCCCCAGTCACCTTTTTTATATATCTTTCGATAAATGGTTTTTAATTATAATGAACCAAATTAGTCTACTGATTATACCTTTTGCCTCTCATTTAAGAAATTATTAATACCAAGCCAAGCACATGTCTGTAATCCCAGCACTTGGGAGGTAGAGGCCTGAGTTCTGGGGTTTAGTCATCCTCAGCTACATTGTCAGTTCCAGTTCAGCTTGAGCGCCATAGGACTCTGTCTCCAAAAACAAGCAGGGCCTGGAGGGATGGCTCAGCAGTTAGGAGCACTGGCTGTTCTTCCAAAGGACCCAGGTTTGATACCCAGCACTTACATTTTTATTTATTACTATTTAGTGTGTTTGTGGTGTGTGTGCACACTTGTCCATGTAACAACACAAATTTGGCAGTCAGTGAACATCTTTGTGGAATCAGGTCTCTCCTTCCACTTCCACATGATTCTGAAAACTGGATTTAGGCCCCCAGGCTCACACAGCATCTTCAACCACTGAGCCATCCTCCTAGTCCTTGTGAAGGATTTAAAATTTTTTCCTTTTATGAGTAAGTATGTCCTTGACCAATTTTTAACTGATATTTTTCAGACAAGGCCTTGCTCTGTAACTCTGGATGGCCTGGAACTCTCTATAGAGACCAGGCTAGCCCAGAACTCACAGATACCCACCTGTCTGCACCTCCTGAGTGCTGGGATTAAAGGCATGAACCACCGTGTGTGTTCTTGACTGATTTTTCCCATCAAAGGTGAGCTAATAATTAATTTTTTCCTCTCAATTAATTTAACACTTAACACATCTTCCCAGTGCCACTTTGAGGAAGACACTGATTCTGAATAAGTTTGGTTTTTTTCTGGCTTCTCTGGTTTGTGTGGTTTGTCTAATTTCTCAGCTCTGAACAGGTCCACTGCTGTTTCATTGCTAGAGCTTTAGTCTCAAGTCTTGATGTCATGTTACTCTTGTGGATGTCAGGAGGTCTGTAAACAAAGGTCAGGTCCTCTTCTATGCACACCTTCAGACTAGCCAATCAGTTCCTAAAAAGAAAAGCCCATGTGAGCTAGAGAGATGGCTCAATGGTGAGGAGAAGTGGCTGCTCTTGCAGAGGAGCTATGTTCAGCTCTTAGTAGCCACACTTGTTATCTCAGAATTTGGCTCAGGGAATCCATCGCCCTTTTCTGGCCTCTGTGGGCACTGCACTTACACATACATATGGGCGGGCAGAACACTCACACATGTAAAATAAAGAAAGCAAAACTTTAAAAACTAAAGAAATGTTGCTGAAAGTCCGTGTTGGGAGTCCCCTGGCTCTGCTTCCTCCACCTTCAGTGCTGAAGTTACCGATGTGTGCCACTGTACCCAGGTTTGTCATGGGGACCTGAACTCAGGTCCTCATGATTACATGACAAGCACTTTACCCATCCCCCTAGACTACACATTTAAAGATTTGATGACACACAATTCTTCAAATTTTCTTTTAAAGGTTATGTTTGGTATTGTCTATAAAAATCAATAGCAGCCTTGTATTTGTTGCAACTTTTATACAGTTTTAAAGCATCTATCTACTATATTTATTGACTCCTCCCCAACTCGTGTGTGTGTGTGTGTGTGTGTGTGTGTGTGTGTGTGTGTGTGTGTGTGTGTGTGTGCAGAGGTCACAGGAGGGTGTGAGTTGCCTTGCTATATCACTCTCCACCTCATTCCTTGAGGCAGGGTCTCTCCCTCAAGTGGAGCTCACTGCTTTTTTGGCTAGGCTAGTAGCCAAAAGGCCTGAGTTTTGTAGCTTTTTGTCAACCTTTGAACTCATGAATCATGATTTAATAGGGATTTCTTGTTCTGAATGGGGGGCAGGTCTAGGCATTTAGTTTTCTGAGGTGTGGATATCCAAATGTTTCAGCAGTGTGTGTTAAGCACACCATCTTTCCACACTGCTTTTGCTTTTGTCAAAAACCAGTCAGACTCATTTGAATGGAAGACATGTGACATTACCTAGAGCCCAGGAAAGGATGAGGCCACTAAAATATGGATTCTGAACCAAGGACAGAGCACCCACAGTTCAACTTACACAGACAAATTTCCCTTGAATTATTGTGAGCAAACCAGAACATGCCTGTTAGTCCGTGCAGAACCTCAGATGCTAGTCTGTGACCACTGACCAGAGGATGGAGACTTGAGAGCTGTGGGTGTATGCCTGTGCCATATGGTGCTCCCAGCAGGCATGGGGACTGACCTAAGGTGCACAGATGGGCGTGTGGGAATGAGGAAGGGAACAGTCAGCAGGGCAGAGTCAGCTCTTCTGCCTGCCTTGTGACTGGGCGTGTGTGGTGTCACACCTTCAGATCTTGCTGTCCTTCTAATAAGCAATGAGACCGTCCTAGATCACAACCCTTTTCTGTAGCAGTTTAATGTCCTGGCTGCAGATTCTTTAAAATTCCTATTACCTACCTATCAGGCTCAATCTTCTTTCCCCTTGTGGTGTCTGTTCTGAGGTGGCTTAGGCCAGTAGATGGCAGTGTCTTCTTAATCTTTCCTTCAATCAGCATCCTTTGTTAAATTAACTTTGTTTATTTTACATCCTGACCACAGTTCCCCTCCCTCCACTCCTCCTATTCTCTCCTCCCTCCTCACTTCTATCCACCCCACCCACTCCTCCTCTGTTTGGCAGGCTTCCCATGGATCCCAACAAAGCATGGCATATCCAGTTCAGTTAGGACTAAGCTCCTCTCCTTGGACTAAGACTGGGCAAGGCAACCGAGTATGAGGAGGAGTTTCCCAAAAGACATCCAAAGCACTAGGCACAGCCCCTGATCCCACTGCTATGAATCCCACAAGTAGACTAAGCTACAACTGTCACACATATGTAAATCACCTAGGTTGGTCCCATGCAGGCTCCCTGCTGTTGGTCCAGACTCTGAGCTCCTATGAGCCCAGGTTAGTTGTTTCTGGGGATTCCCTTGTGATGTCCTTGTCCCCCCTGGCTGGTACAATCCTTCCTCCCTCTCTTCAGCAGGATTCCCCAAGTTTGGACCAATGCTTGGCTGTGGGTCTCTGCATCTGTTTCCACCAGTTACTGGATAACGGCTCTCTGATGACAACTGGGGCAGTGCCAGTCTATGAGTATGACAGAATATAGACCTCAGCCTAGAGTTCTTAGAACTGCCAACATCCTCATTCAAACTTCCCTGTACACAACCTAGTGATGCACCTACAGGGTATTCTCCTAGGTGATTTCAAAGCCAGGCAAGTGGGCAATGAAGATTAAATGTGTGTGTGTGTGTGTGTGTGTGT